CCTTGCCCGAAGGTCGAAGAGAGGACACCTTGTCTAACGTTACTCAGAGGCAGAGGCAGAAACAAAACTTCAAGGCTGGGTTTCTGGCTCTTAGGACAAAGGTCTTTTCCCCACGTGGTAGAATTTCAGAAGTGGCCTCGAAACACACCGTGCCCCCTCCTCGCGCCTTGGATGCGCGCTCCCACACCACGTCTGGGCTGACCAGCTCTGACACTAGTGCACACTTGAAAACTTCACCCAGGCGGAGACTGGAAAAGCCCGTGCATGTTGGGGTTTGCTTTTTTGCTGCTGTTCCAGAGAACAGACCCGAGCTAGCGGCTAAAAGGTGCCAGACCACACGCAGAAGAACCGAGGTCCCGCGGCCCACCGCGCGCCGATACCAGGCACCCAGGGAGCCCCCAGCTGGCCCGCCGGTGCCGCAGAGGCAGCAGCTGGCCACAGGTGCATGAAGGAACCCAGCCAAGGCAGAGCACCTGCCCCGCTGAGCCCAGCACGGAATGCCGATCCACAGGAGTGTGGGCTAAATAAGTGGGGTGACCAGGTTACGAAGGCTCCCCAGACGGCTCTGCCCCAGAGACGGCAGGAAGCCGCCTGTCCCAGCAATCTCATCTCTTGCGATTCAAAACATTTCCACATGATGCTGATACGTAATCGGGACCAAAGGAGACACAGACTACGGAAAATGGAGTGGATGCTTCCACTAAGGTTTGCTGGCACAGCCTTCCAGCCCTGCGCACTAAGGTCTGGCCTCCCTGCCAGCCCAGAGGGTAGCTCAGTGCTGTCACTCACGGAAGCTTTACAGGAGATAAGAGCGTGTCGCTGTCCTCACTATGTGTTATCTCAAGAAGAATTTCACCACCAACGGCTTTCTCACAGTTTTCTTGTCCAGTTTTCCTTGTAGATTAAGCACCCAGCATCTATTTCTCTTTCTCTCTCTCTCTCTCTTTTTTAAAACATTTTTTACTTTTGTGAGACAGACAGACAGATAGACAGGGCACAAGCAGGGGAGGGTCAGAGAGAGAGGGAGACACAGAATCCAAAGCAGGCTCCAGGCTCTGAGCTGTCAGCACAGAGCCCGATGCAGGGCTCGAACCCACGAACTGTGAGATCATGACCTGAGGTCAGTCGTTTAACTGACTGAGCCACCCAGGTGCCCCATCCAGCATCTATTTCTATTAACTTCCATTATTTGGGGAGTTTGAAATCTCACTGAAATGGAACTGAGGGTTGTTGCTGTTTTTTTAAGTAATTACTGTACCCAACGTGGGGCTCCAACACAGGACCCCGAGACCGAGAGTTGCACACTCTACTGACCCAGCCAACCAGGTGCCCCAAAACAGAACTGAATTTTAACTGTTAAGACAAAAAAAGCAGTAAAGAAGCTGAAGACTGGGGGAAAGCCTGAAGCCCAGGGTCATGGGGAAGAGCAGTAAAGGTGAAATTTATAAAGATCATCACTGCTTTCCCTCTAGGGCTTATGTGGCTGATGCTTGCAGGAGGGGGCGGGAAGTAAGGGATAATGGTGGGTAACAAACAAGCCCAGCACACAGTCCTTCCTCGCAGCCTGCCAGACTGATGGCGGAGGCAGCCAAAGAGCTCAAAGTAAGCAGTAAGAGCTCACACTCACATCTCACCTACGACATGCCAAATGTGAACTCCCACGCGTGCATCTAACCTGTACAACCACCCTAGGGAAAGGCACTGGTGTCCCCCACTCTAAAGATGCAGAGACTGGTCAAGTAGCGGATCGACGGCCCCACGCCTCACCCACGTGGACCCAGTCTGTTCCCCGCAGCCTGGCTCCAGGGCCCGCGCTCTTCTCCACTGCCCTATCCTGCTTTGCGTCCCAGACGGACCAGCGGTCCCTGGAACACGTCCCTTCAGGGTCAACTGAATAGAATCAACAGAGCAAAATGTCTGAAGGCAGCAATTTCCTAGCCAGGGGTCTTCCATCTGTAACCCAGTGGCCTGCAAGTGGCCCGAAGAAACTGACCTGCTTCGCCAAGACCAGGCTAACCAGAGGCTACTTGAGACCAAAGATGCAGTTTCCCCCTTCCTTCCAGCTCTTCCTCCTTCTGTCCTTCCCCCTCCCACCCCTCAGTTTCGGGGACCCCACAGTCCTCTGCCACATGCTTCCCTTATTCTCCTAGAGGCGGCCTGTTCTTCTCTTCCTCCTAGAGTACACCCCCTTCTCCCACCCCATCCCAGGGGTCCTCTAAGCGAGTCTCTTGCCACCTTTCTGAAGTCCACTACTCAGCATCTTGGGGCACCACCTTCTAATCACAGAAAACAGAACCCTCCCAAGTGGAGATGTCATCAAGCAGCTTCCGGCAGTGAGGAGGGAGGTGGCCCGTTAAGAACTCTCCAAGCCCAGCCCCAAACTGGGCATCTGTTGAAATCCCCACCGCGAAGGGCTGCCTCGTGGTTTCAACCCGTAAGGAGAAAGCGTGAGGCCAACTCCTGAGACACGGCTCGGCGCGGAGGAGAAGGCGTGGTCGGGAGCCGGCCCCCCCGGCCACGCCAGCCCCCCGGGTGCGTACATGCCTACCCTCGGGGCCTCAGGCTTCCCATCGACAGCGATAAGGCTGGCACTGAGCCTTGGGGTCAGGGACCACCCCGATTTTGAGATTCTGTTTGGAGCCTATGATCCATCTTCCTTTCCAGAAAAGTGCATATACTGAACATACCTGTGATGTCAAAAGGTTCCCAGACTCTAACCCCCTAAAACTCTCTTGGGGGGGAAGCCCCCAGGGTTAGGGAGAGCTGGAGAACTCTAAGAGTGCTTTAGCGCTCAAGTCTGACTTCCTCCACCCCAAGAAAGTTTCCGTGCCAGCGACATGCTCACGCCCCTTTCCTCTCTGGGAGCAGATTCACCCACTCATTAACACACATTTATTAGGCTCCTGCTGAAGGCTGGCCGCTCTTCTAGGCCCCAGGGACATGGGATGGGGCATTCTACCGCCACCTGCGCTCTGCAGGGAACCACGTAAGGGGACCTAAAGGCAGCACAGGTGTGATTTCACAAAGCGATCCATTTCCATCCTGATCTCTATTAATCCGGCCCCTGAGATGCTGGTAAATATTTCTGGTTTGGGAAACCTGTTCAAGGAAAAGGAAGGTCTAATTCCCCTTAATCCTAATATCAGCTGAAGATCTATTTTTCCAAGCCTTCCTTCTTTCCTTCTGTTCTTCCCGCTTCTCCTCTTCCCTCCCCCCTGCTCCCTCCCACCCTCCCTCCTTCCTTTCCTTCCAGAATGTTGAAGGAGCTGCGATCCCAGGAGAAACAGCTCCTTTACACCTTTTTGAGGAAGGTGAGGCATGGTTTCTCACCGCTGCAAGCAGGAGGGTTTGCTGGGCGCCGAGGGAAGAAGTGAATGGTCAGCACATGCGGGAGAGGCATGATCGAGCTGGTGAGAAACTGAAATGGGGGGGGGGGGGCAGCTGCAAATGGAGTGACACAGCTCGAGGCTCTTGTGACCTCCTAGCTAGCACAGCCCCCTGCTGTGTGTGTCTCTGCCACACAGAGAACAATGCCACCCCCAGGCCATGACCACCATCAGCATCCCCGCCCCCACCCCAAAGGAACAAGGCTGTGTGAAATGAAAGGAACCTCCTACCAACGAGAACCTTGGATGACCCTAAAATATGGGACAAGGGTTGTCTGTAATTTCAGCTGTAAAAATTCGCACCACAGAAGACCATTTCCTCCATGTACACAATCACCCATGGTTTGGTTTGCACTCAAGGACAAAGTGCATCTGGGATTAACATCTAAACCTAGAAGGTGCTGGTAAATAGACGATGGTGGACAACGGTGCTATTCAGGAAGGAGCTCATTTTGCTATTTTTTCCCTTAGACTCCACTGCAAAACAAAGCCAGATTTGTATCTGCAGAACATTCTTATAGCAACTGGAAGAAATTATCCCTTGACGAAGCTGTTGGAAAAATCAACTGCAAGAATAGCACCCGGCCTTTCCTCTAGCCATCAAATGATCTTTGCTATTCGAAGAGTCTTTAAAGAAAAAAAAAACACGCCCAGAAGAGATGCCCTATTTAAAAATGAGGCAGTTTGTTTTGATATAACAAAGGCGGAGACATCAGAGGGAGAAACGACAGCTTCATACAAGAGAAAGAAACTTTTGGAAATTTTTAAAATAGGCAAAAAACCCCCAAACTGAATTACTACTGAAAATCTGATTGATCGGATCAAGAATAGCATTATTGCCCCCAATGCAGAGTAACATCCACTTTCCAGGGGCTTAGGAGTAAGTTTCCTAACACAACACAGGAAGTCAACGGCGCTTCGTTTTCGACCCCCGTTGTGGGGCCCCGATGTAAGACGGGATTCCTTCTGCACCTTCATGAACATGAGCTTGTCCCCATCATTAATATCTCACTGGTAATTTGGCTTGCTTGGCCACCCTCTCTCTGCTCCGTTTCTCCCACCGATTTCTTCCAGGGGTGCTCCAGTGAAGCGCCCCGCGGGGTAGGCGGCCCCGCCGGGAGCAGGCATCTCCAATCTTTCCACTGCAATCACATGGTGCCACTACTGTGCACGATCTCAGCCCTCTTCGCCTGTCCCCTGGACTGTGGCGGACATCTCCAGCCACGGACTGTCTCATTACAGCACTTGCTGGCTCAAAACCTACCCACTGGGCTCCCAGCCTTTGAAGGTTCAAGTTCGAGCCTGTAGCTCAACCTGCAGCCTCCCCCACCGGCCCCACCCGCAGGGCCCGGCCCTATTCTACCTCTCGAGCTTAGGCTCCTCCCACTTCCTACCGGTGCCTTCTGTCCCAGCAACAGCCCTTGAACGCCTAGCGCAGCCCTTGCGTTCCTGCCTCAGCCCCCTCCCCGGCAGCCCCTTCCTGCACGTGAAATGGTGTTCAAGGGCACAGGGAAAAAGGGAAGTAGGAGCTGAAATCCAGCCCACGTTCTGCTTCCCAAGCCACACACCTGAGGTGCTACATCTACACGGAGGGACTCCCTTTGGGAATCTGCACAAAGGCTCTGCATGGCTTAGCAGTGGCCCTGTCTCTACGAGCTCGCCACATCACGTCACAACTGTCCACGCGTTCACCTCCCCCCACCCCTCCATCCCCACGCTGGTGCCCGACACACGCCTGGAACGCGCAGATGGCACTAACTGTTGACTGAGCCGGCAGGTTGAATGGGAGCGAGACTGTGGCTGAACACGGAGAACGGGGAGGTAGACCCTCAGAGCCTGTCTTGCTACAGAGGCTCCGAAGAGCCCAGCGCTAACCCAGAGCCTCACACCCAGGCGGAACGTCCAGGGGCCGGGCCGGGAGAGGCTTGACTGTCCTCACACCCACGAAGACCCACAGAATGGCGTTCCAAATGGCTCCTCTCGGGGACAAAGAGGGGATGTGATTTGTCCACTCTGAAGGTGCAGCAACCAAAGGTAAGCGAGGCAGCAACACCTCTTCCCGCAGGTGGCAGGGGTTCAGAGAAGTCACGAGGGCCGCAGGAGTCGGCAGGGGACGTTCAGAAACACCCAAAGACGCAAGCAGAGCTCCTGGAATGTTGCCCAGAGCACTGAACCAATGAACCAATCCCACGGGGGGGGGGGGGGGGGGGGGCGTGGAGGAAGGCAAGGCACTGAGTTACCGACTTTCAACCTGATTAGAAAACCGAAGGGGGAGGGGAGCGTAGGAAAAGCCAGTCTGACCTATGAGAACAAAACCCCAGAAGGCAGTAGAGGGTCAAAATTCTGTCCAACCAGACGGTGGAGACGCTGCATCTCTGTGGCCTGGGAGGAGCCCTTATCTTCTGGAAGCGCTGGGACCACACCCAGAGGGCTGGTGGCTGACGCGAGGACATTACGAGGGCATGGCCAGCTTCGGGGAGTCACCAGGTACATTTGCATAGGTAGGAGGAAGTGTCCTAAAGCGTCACTGCCCAAAGATGCAGCCAAGGGTTGTGAAGGCTTCGAAGAGAAAGGGGTCAGTGTGACCCAGGGCAGAGGCAGGGGTGTCAGCTGAGCCCCCACTTTGGGGAATAAGGAATAAGGAGAGCAGTCGCTGGAGCTGGGACTTTGGCTTATTGATTCTAGACCCCTGACAACGGCGGAGGCTTAGAACTCGGAGACGTTCCCACTCCCGCCCGACCCCAAGTTACCAGCGGAGTCCTGAAAACCATACCAACTGCAGACTGCCGTGGAGGCAGTGTAGACTGCGGGAACCAGGAGGGGAGAGGCGGGGCATCCACACCAGGGTGTGGCCGCCCGGCCGCTGGAGGGAAAAGCCAAGTTACTGAAACAGAAGTCGGAGGCAAGAAAGGGAAAGAGCACAGAGCCAGCAAGGTCTATAGAAGGGACTCCAGGCCTTCTGTTCTGGAATGTCTTGGAAAACGCAGGGGGATCTGGAACAGAACGCTGAATGAAACTTTCAAGAAAGAGTCACTTGCGAATTGCAGCGATCCTCCAGGCCCTTCACCACTGGCCCTTCCGCAGATTTCCAGCGCGGGTGTGGGCGCCCACCCCAGGGCACCAGAGCTCGCAAGGCAACTCAGTTCCCACCCCCCACCACCCCCCCGGACCAGTCACCAGCGCTGGAAATCTGCGGAAGGGCCAGTATTTTAAAAGTCCAAGATACTAAATCAGGATAAAGCAGCCACACCCCCAGGGGGCATCACAACGTTTCTGGTTTCAGGATGGACGCGTACCTTTCGCCTATCTCCCACTTTTAGTGATGAGGAGCAAATGATTAGGGAGAATTCAATATTCTATTACTCTTTACCGTAGGATGAAGTGATTTTCAACCCTAGCGAAAGATAATCAGAATTTATCAGGGAGACGCCCACTACTTGGAGATGAAAGTCTGTCTCTCACCGTGGCGTGTTAAGAAAAGCAACTGACTTGGGAACTGAATCCAGCTACACCGCCTGGGGCCCGTGGGCCTGTTCCCCGAGGTGTGACAATGGAAGTAGTCATGGGAACACTGGCCTCACAGGTAGATGTGAAGTTAAAATGAGATCATGGGTGTAGAGGGTCTAATCCAGGCCCCAGAACATGCTCGATACGCAGTGAATGTAAGATAGTTCTGCGATCTCTTAAGTCAAACGTTTGTTATCACTGTAACAAACACCACTGCACGAGCACAAGTTCCCCTTGACGTTGTCAACTGTGGGCTGAAAACTCTCTGGTGCTGAGCGATGAGAGACAGAGTCTCTGGCCTGCTGTTGTAGAAACAGCGACATGTTTGGACACACACATCGTAACGACAATCCCTAGAAATGCTTTCTTCTTTCTCAGGGTTCAGGTTGAGAGGCTGGCCTTTACGAGGACATAATTTGATTCGAGAAGCAGGTTCTGCCGGTTTCCCTGCTGTGGCTGACACCTGTGACCCAGAGTTGCTCTGAACCGCCTGTAGAGCTGGTCCGGGGGCCCAGCAGGTCCTCTGAGAGCAGAAAGTTCCAGACGCTCTGAGGCAGAGCCTCAGGCCTAAGGACCTGAAAGCAACTCGTCGACCAAAAAAAAAAACACAAAAACCCGACCGAAGCTCTGCAGCTGACAGAGGTGTGCACAGAGCCCGCTACGTGAGACGCCACCCAGGGTGGCTTCTGAGGTCGCCAGGTCCTCTGTGAGGGAGACTCGTTTTTCGACGGAGCAGAGTGGAAAACAGAGAGATGGGTCACATCTGCCTGGGTTTTCCCCACAGACGGTGGCGTAGAGAAGGCCCTGAGCTGAACTGGGAAAGGGACTTGAGGACACTCCCTGGAAGGGACAGACTGAAGTCAGGGGTGACCCGAGGCCCCCTCTCCCTTCCCAAAAGCAATAGGCAACGGTGTCGAAAGTCAACAGCAGACATGTCGCAGAGAACGCAAGAAGGCGGGCCTGCACGGTGGCCGGTGGCTGCCCAGGCGGCTCGGCTCCGTTATGCAGACACGGACGCGCTTCCATTCCAGTTGGCACAAGCCTCTGCCCCGAGACCCCCTGTGCCCCCCGCTCTGGCTGCCACAACCCCTCCTCCAGGAACCCCTCACCCTCTGTGAGATACAGAGATGCAGCCACAGGGTTAACTTCTGCTCCAGGAGGCCTCCGGAAGTTTCTGATTGGTCGGGGCTGGTTGTGAAATGGTTTAAAGATCACCCCCGACCTTGGTCCCAACCCCAAAAGGGTTTATTGGTCTGCATCATCTGCAGGGGTCGGGGGTAGAGACAGAGTAGGTAGGCGGGTGGCCTCTTCCAGATCCCAGGGCTCGACCACCCACCTCGACCGCCTGCCGCCTTCTCACGGCCACGGGCAGCCACCACGACACGAACGCCGAGCCCCCAGAGCCAGCTCGCTGCAAACCCCCGGGACTTGCCCCATCTAAGTGGGGCAAAGGCAATGGCACGAGAGACCTCCCCACAAGGCAACACGAGCGGGGAGATTGTGAAAACCACCGACCGCCAAGGAAGGGCAGCCAGTCCGGCCATTACCTACCCCCGCCCCACCCTGCGCTGCCTCCTTTGGAGACCGAAGGCCCTCTTTATCTCACTGCCTCCAACTAGGACAGCCTCCCACTCCCCCGAGGAAAGCCCCCAAAGTCTGGGGCTTGGGCAATAAAAATGCCTACTTTCAATTCTTCGTCCCCTTTTTGTATATTGATCGAATAATGCCCCACAGACCACACAGTTATTAGAAGTTAAACCAAGAATACACCATTGTGCAGGCAGAGAAGTCAGAGTGGAGAAGAAGCCAGAATGGATGATTAATGATAATGCTTGACAACTCTCTCTCTCTCTCCTTCCCTCTCCTTTTCTCTCTCTCCTCACCTCCTCCTTCCTCCCTCCTTCCCTCTCTTCCCCACTCTCTCCATCTGACACATATGCAGACGTACACACTCTCTTCTGGAAGGTACTTGAAGAAACATATTGCCAGGAGGGGTAGGAACTATTAACAGCCCGTTAGGATAGGCAGTTGGTACAGCTGCCCCGAAGCTATGATTTTTAAACCGGTCTTTAAAAGTCCCGACCTCTGTGTTTTCAATGAGCAGCTACTGGGGTTATAGACACCTGGTTGAAAAATCGGAGACCTTCTATAGCCGTGCCAGGGTTGGGTGACTGCAGAGACGTAAAGAGAGCTACAATCCATATCACACCGTGTCCCCAGGAGACGGGAGGCCTGGGGGACAGGTGAAATATCCTTGGAAGAGAGACACTTGCTCGTCACCAGGCCAAATGGTTACCACAAATAATCCCTTTCCCCAAATCACATAAACAAGCAGGGTTTTCCCAGTTTTGTACAAGAGGAGGGAGCAGCAGGCGACCAGCTGTCTCGTGGTGGATCGTCCCAACGCCTTTTCTAAAAGCCAGACAAATCCTTGATGGAAAATGTACACAGGAACTGAGCTGGCAAGAAATCAGAAGGAAACACCCAGACCCCTTTCCCCCGAGTTACACACGGAAGGCACCTCTGAAGCTCGTAATCAACCAGGAAGAGAGAACAAAGGTTGCTATATATACACTTTTAATTTTCTTGTCTGCCTAGGTGGCTTTCTGAGTTGTCGCCTCTGACTGCAAAGGAATGCCTCCACGAGAGGAAAGCCAGCCCAGTCCGAAAAATACAGTCATGTAGAATTTTCGAAAACCGCCATACGCTAGAGCCCGTATCCTGGTGGGTATCATGAAAACAGAACTCCTGCTTCTTAATTAAAAAAAAAAAAAAAAAAAAACACACAAAATGATAAAGTCTAAATCTCAGCTTTGCGGACGCTGCTGTGCCNGAAGCTCGTAATCAACCAGGAAGAGAGAACAAAGGTTGCTATATATACACTTTTAATTTTCTTGTCTGCCTAGGTGGCTTTCTGAGTTGTCGCCTTCATGGTACTTGAACTTTTGCTCAGGGGGCTCCTTTCTGCCTTCCTTGCTGAAACCATCTGCAAGAGTGTCCGAAAACCGGCATACGCTAGAGCCCGTATCCTGGTGGGTATCTTAAAAAAAGAACTCCTGCTTCTTAATTAAAAAAAAAAAAAAAAAAAATCACACAAAATGATAAAGTCTAAATCTCAGCTTTGCGGACGCTGCTGTGCCTGATGTTAACACACACGTGAAGTAGGTCATGGAGAAAGTGGTCCCGAAGGAGACGTTACCCCGAGAGGGCAGAGGCCGGAGCGAATGTGGCCGTGAGCATCTGGGGCAGCACGGGGCTGGGGGGGGGGGGACTTACTTGGGTGTGCCCGCAGGCTTCCAGTACCGGCAGAAGAGGTACTGTCCGTCGGCATTGACCAGGTGGGGCAGGTCCTGGTAGGGAATGCTCTGCGGGGTCTGCCTGGGAGAACTTTCCTCCGGCATCCTGAAAGGATCTTCAAGCCCTTGAAAGAAAAGGAGACATTTTCCGAAGTCAGAAATATGGCAAAAAAAAAAAAAAAAAAAAGAAAAAAAGAAAGAAAGAAACCGCACAGGGAGGGGGAAACGAGCCTCCCTCGTTCGGTGCCAGTGGGATTCTCAGGGCAGTTTAAAAAGACCCTCCATTTCAACGATGTTTAAAATCCCCAGACTGAAAAACCCCATTTGTTCTTAAGAAAATGCTCACTTCATTTTTTAAGTGCCTCATTACAGCTCTTTCCCCCCCTTCCCATCTGTGTTTATTTTAAATCATTTCAGGAAACTTCATCTTAAAGACTATTTTAGCTGTAATCAAGTGGAAATTATCGTCAGCTCCGTGGGTATAAAGACGCAGCTGCGAGGAGACCTGTCTGTCTTAAAACCCCCAAGGAAGTTTCAAAGGGGCGCCATAATAAGGTGGATGATACTCCAATTAATGCCTCCCGGCTGAAATTCCAAAGCCTGCGCGACAAACCTGTTTCCATCATGTCCTGGCTTTTGCCTTCCCAACCACGACAGCATGGAGACTCAGAGCCGGGCAAGTAAGGGCTGCTCCCTCATCTGGGCGGTCACAGGGCGCATTCGAGCCGGCCCCCAGCCCCGGCCCCCCAGCCCCCGCCCGGCTCCCCGGAGCCAGCCTGCCTTCCGGGCTTTGGGGTGCTGAGCCCCGAGCCCGCTGCCAGCTCGCGCTGAGAGCTCCCGGGGCCCCCTCCTCCCCCAGGGGCGGGGAGCAGGCGCGCGCGACGCCCGGGTGCTAGTTCAGGTCATCACTTTCCCCGCACAAATCCACGGAGGGGGTCGGCGGGGAGAGGGGCTGGCGAGCGCGGCGCCCCTGCCCGGAGCCTGGGAAACTCGCCCCGCGCACAGCCAAGGCGCCTCGCACACGCACAAACGCGGGTCCCCGAGGCTCCCGACAAACTTTGCTTCCTGCCTGTCTCCGGCTGCGCGGGCCACGGAGCCCCGCAGCTGTCACCGGGGACGCCGCGGGGGAAACCGGAGACGGCGCCGGGCGTGTTTGCGGGGACGGCGGGGACCGGGGACAAGTTGGTTCGGGGGCTGGTGCGAGCGAGCCGGGAGGGCGCGCGCACCCAGACGCGCGCGCACCGCCGTGCACACGCGCGCGCGCGCCAGGGGCGCGGGAGCCCACGCCGAGCATGGCGGGGACCCCCGAGGCTGCTCCCCGCGGCGGGGACTGCACGTGCAGGCTGGGGCGGGGGCCGGGAGGCAGTTACCGGGGCCACGAGCGCCGCTGTCGCGTTCCCCGAGCGCCGCGGGTCCTCGTCTGCGCCGGGCCAGCGCCGGGCCGAGCTGCGCGCCACCGGCTCCGCGGCGACAGGGCGCGGCGTCTGCGCTGCCACTTTATCCCCGGGCCCGCTAGGCGGCGGGGGCGGCCCCAGGTGGGTGGGGACGCGCGGGACCGGGGGCGGGCGGTGCGGGGAGGCGGCGCCCGGGGCCCACGTGTGCCCGGGCCGCGGGGAGGAGCGGGGGCGCAGCCCGCGGACCCGGCCACGGCCACGCGCTCCTCCCCTCCCTGCCTCGGGGGAGGCCGCGCCCCGGGGTGGCCGCCCAGGGACCGTCACGAGGCCTGGAACCCAGCCGCGCTCTCCCGAGTGTCAGCGCCGGAGGGCTCGCCACACCCACGGGCAAGACACCTCGCGCACACAGACCCACGTAGGGACACGGGCTCCACCCAGTATGCACGCGTGCACGGACCCACGCGCAGATAGCACAGCACAGACAGAGGGACGCGTGCAGATGCATGTAGGCACTGCATGCACCGTGCAGGCAGACTTGCACCCAGACTTCCCCGCAGGTACACACGCAGACACGCACACAACATACCACACACACCCACCGAGATGCTCAGTCCACAAAGACAGGCCGGTGACATCCACAGAGACCCAGACACACCCAGAAACACAGAGCCACGCACACAGAGCCACACGTAGACCTCAAGGAGACACGCACATGTGGGCCAACTCTCCTGGACAGACACACTCCCACATGGTCAGACACACGCATAAAAAGCTGGGGTGGGGGTGCACGAGTCCCCAGGAGGTAGGGTAAAGGCAGACGAGTGTAGCCTCGTCCCAGCACCCGTCCCCACCATCCGGGAGGCCGCCCCGCATGAGGTCTCTGGGGCATCCGCACAGGCCCCGGGGAGGTCTGAACGGGACCCAGGACAACTAGCAGCACAGGCTGTGGCGGTGCAGGAACCCAGCTGGGTTTAGGATCCAGGCCACCGGCTCCAGCTCCTCCGTTTGTCCTGTGAGCCTTAACCTCCTCACCTGCAGCCGGGGCCGCCACAGGAGCGTGACCCCTGTCCCCAGCTCGCACTGACCTCAGCTGGCCTCTGCGCCTTTCCTTCCTTCATAAATAACTCTACACCATAGCAAATGTTGAAAAGAACTGCTGTACTCACTCCAGAAACTGGTGTCTCATTGTCACACTGTATGCGTGCAGGGGCCCAGGCCACTTAGAGCCTGTGATCTGACTTAAGAAATGAAACAATATGGGGCGCCTGGGTGGCTTAGTCGGTTGAGCGTCCAACTTTCACTTAGGTCATGATCTCGCGGTTCGTGGGTTCGAGCCCCGCGTCGGGCTCTGTGCTGACTGCCAGCTCAGAGCCTGGAGCCTGTTTCAGTCTGTGACTCCCTCTCTCTCTGACCCTCCCCTGCTCACGCTGTCTCTCTCTCTCTCTCCTAGAAATAAATAAAAAACATAAAAAAAAAAAGAAAGAAATGAAACAATAGCCTTTGAGAAGCTATGGGTTGTAAGTGCCACCAAGTGGCTCAGCCAGCTCTCTGACCTCAGGCAGGTCACCAGGCCTGGGACAGAGGAGCTACATGCATCTCGTAAGGGCAGCTTTACAATCTCCACGCAGGACAAGCCTCGAGGGAGCGATCCTGCGGCAGGGAGCTGGCGGAGCCCTCAAGCTGGCCATGCTAAATACACCGGATTCACTTGGATGTAAGTTATTGGAGGGGGGGGCAGCTGGGGATCTGATGGATGGGGGGGGGGGCAAAGCTCACCTTGTACACAGCTGTGTTTTCAGTGTTTTCCAGCTCCAGCATTCCAAAATTTTAAATAGACAGTGTTAAAGGTTTGAGGACAGAGTTTGCTGAAGTTGTCAGCAGAGCCTCTGTAGAAATGGTGGTAGAGAATTGGAAGCTCTGTGTCCTTGGTCACCAACATAAAGGAGAGCGTGGTATGTGGTCAGAAGGTTGGGAAACCATGAGTTAAGACTCTGAGACTCTGCTGTTCTGTATCTGGCTATGTTTTTCATTAAACTTTAAAAAAATATTTATTTATTTATGAGAGAGAGACAGAACGTGAGCAGGGGAGGGACACAGAATCCAAAGCAGCTCCAGGCTCCGAGCTGTCAGCACAGAGCCCAACACGGGGCTCGAACTCACCAACTATGAGATCATGATCTGTGCCGAAGTCGGATGCTTAACCGGCTGAGCCACCAAGGCGCCCCTTAATTAAACTCTTTATTTTGAGATACAGGTAGATCTGGATGTAGTTGTTAACAAATAGTCCAGAGAAATGCTGTGTACCCTTTACCCAGTTTCCCCCGATGGTAACGTCTTATGAAAAAGTAGGATGATATCACAACCAGGATATCGACACTGATGCAGTCTAGATGCAGAACATTCCATTGCCACAAAGATCCCTTGTGTTGCCATTTTGTAACACGTCTACTTCCTTCCCACCCCCATTCCCTTCATAACCCCTGCCAAGCACTAATTATGTCTCCATTTCTGAAACTTTCCCATTCGAGAATGTTCTATAAAGTGAGTCACACAATATGTGACCTTTGAGGATTCACCTTTGCCCTCAGCGATCTCCGGGTGGTGTGGGTAGCATCCTATGGTGTGGACATACCACACAGTTCATTGAGGGACTTCTGGGTCATTACCAGCTTAGGGCTGTCACAAATAAAGATGCTTTTGGCGCTCCTGTAGAGTTTTTTTGTGTGAACACAAGTCCTCATTTCTCTGGGATAAATGCCCAGGAGGGCAATTGCTGGGCTGTGAGAAAATTACATGTTGTTTAAGAGCCTGCCCAAAAGTATTACAGAGCGGCGGTACCATTTCACATTCCCATCGGGGATGTGTGAGAGGTCTGGGTTCTCAGAGTCCTTGTCAGCACCTAGTGTTGTCAATATATATATACATTTATCTATTTTAGCCTTTTCCTCCCCACCACTTTTCTCCTTCCCTCCCTTTGGGACTCAGATAATGTATTAGATCTTTCATTATAGTCCTATAGGTCTCTGAGTCTCTCTTCATTTGTCTTCCCGTCTAGTTTCCCTCTGTCGTCCAGACTTTGTAATTTCCAGTGCCCTGTCTTCCAGTTCACTGCATCTTTCTTCTTTCTCCTCCATCCTGCCTCTGAACCCATCCTCTGAGCTTTTTTACTCCAGTATTGAACTTTTCAGTTCTACAACTGCCATTTGGAAATTCTAATGAAGATTAGATCTTCTCTTCCTAGGCGGAGACTCGCCATTTTTCATTAGTTTCAGCCATGTTTGCAATTGCTCCTTGGAGCACTTTCATCACAGCTGCTTTAAAATCTCTGTTCTTTCAGGTGGCATCTATCGATTGTCCTTTATCATTCAATTTCAGATCTCTCTGGTTCTTGGGGAGATATGTGATGATGATCTTATATTATGTTGTGAGACTCTGGATCTTCTTTAAAGCTCCTGTCTTAGCTGGTCCTTTCTGGCACTGCTGCGGGCCAGGGGACGGGCAGGTGGCCGTGTGGCCTCATTGCTCCGTGTGGGACTAAACAGCTAAGCCTTGGTGGGTGTGGGCGTGGGCTACCTTTTTCTTCTGTGTTGTTTGACTAGTGTAGAAAGGCCAATGTCTGAAACTTTACTGGCTTGTTCAGCTTTCTCTCTCCTTGCCTTTAGGCTGGAAAGAGTGGGCTTTGGTTAAGTATCATTTGGTCTGTGCCTTTGGCATTTCCGGGTTGCTGGCTTCTCTAGCTCCAAAACTGGAGTATGTGAGGCAAAACAAAAACTCGGGAACTCGCCACCATGTCATCCCTTGGCTCCTGAGGTCTCTAGTCGGTCTGCCTTTTCTCTCCCCTTTCAGAGTCTCTTTCAGTTCGGTTTATAGATGACGTACAGGGTTTTCAGTTGGACTCAGCAGGAGGAATAGGGAAGAACACACCCCCTGTACCACTGCAGACGCAGACGTCCAGTATCTGCTACATATGTCAGCAATTCCTACCAGTGCACGTGCCCAGAGAGACTCAGAACCCAGCCTCTCCAGACCAGACCACTCTAGAAACAGCCATGTCCCAGAAAAGTCCAGTTGGCAGGATCTGCCCCTACGGCCTGGGATGAAAAGGCAGGGCAGAGATTCAAGCACAATCAGTGTGTTTCTGCTCCCACTAGTGTCTTGTGTGGCCTTGCAGAGATGCTCTGAGGTTTGAGCTGAATGGAACACGCTGGAAACACCTGTGGGGAGGAAGGCAGTAGGAGCAAACTGGGAGGCGATAGGAAAGCCAGGAGTTTCTCTTATTAGAAATGTTGGTATGTGCGGGGCGCCTGGGTGGCTTAGTCGGTTAACCGTCCGACTTTCGCTTAGGTCATGATCTCATGGTTCGTGGGTTCGAGCCCCGCGTCGGGCTCTGTGCTGACTGCCAGCTCAGAGCCTGGAGCCTGTTTCAGTCTGTGACTCCCTCTCTCTCTGACCCTCCCCTGCTCGCGCTGTCTCTCTCTCTGTCTCCTAGAAATAAATAAACATTAAAAAAAAAAAAAAGAAAGAAATGTTGGTATGTGCAAATTAACTCCTACAGCTTTGTGCAACCACAGGAATGTGGGCGGCTGTATATTTCAATGACAGATCACTCCTGGATGGACAGAAGTAGAGGTTGGGAGTGGAGCTGGTAAGCAGAGTGAATGATGAAAGATGTAAGACTTTGTACAACTTTAGAGGCAAATGAAGGTGAGCGAAAACACGTGAACTCTGAAACACGTGAACTCTGAAACACGCTCCATGGACTAGCTGTGTAACTTCTGGCGACTCAGGGTGACGTGAATATGTACTCTGGGCCGTGGCCACGGTTAGTTCAGATCGTGTCTAGGCAGTGCTCAGCACGGTGTCTGGTGGGCAACCAGCTTGCACTAAATCAAGAGTAGAAGGGCGTGGTCTAAGGAAAGGTACTTTTTTATCTGACCAAGATTTTTCGTGTGAATTTTTTAAATTGGGAGTTTCACATGCAAATCCAGATTCCCAGCTTCTCTTGAAGAGCAGAGGGGTGTGGTCACGAGGGACCGTTGGTGTTGGACGTGTTGACTGTGAGGGGCCTGTAGGGGAGGCTGGATTTGTGGGTCCAGAACTGAAGAGAAAGGTCAGGCCAGAGATGTGGGAGGCTCAGAAATGATCTCTGCATCTGCGGGATAGAGCACACTCACCTCCGCAGAGCAGGCAGGTGAAGGCGTGACTTGGTGTCCTGTGTGGGAGTTTGAGCTTGGCCAATGCTATGCTTTCAAAATGTTTGAATTCATGGCCAACTTTTAAAAACCAGGACACTTCACACAATAGTGCTGATCCCTGGATTTCCTCTAAAAGGCAAAAGGCCTGTCAACATGAAATTCATTCTATGAGGCCAGCATTACCTTGCAACTAGATGAAGACATCACAAAAAAGAGAACTATAGGTCAATATCTCTGATGGACATAGATGTATAACTCCTGCTCGACAAAATATTAGCAAACTGAATCAAATAATGCATTAAAAAAAATAACTCACCACAATTAAGTGGGGATTTATTCCTGGGATGTAAGCATGGTTCAATATTCACGATTCAATCAACGTGATACAGCACATTAGTATGAGGAAGGCTACAAACCATATGATGACTTTAGTCAATGTAGAAAAAGCATTTGACAAAGCACAACATACATTCATGATAAAAGCCTTTGTTTTGTCAGCAGTTTAGAGGGAACATACCTCAACGTAATGGGCCGTACATATATGAAAACCCCACAACGAACATACGACTCAGTTATGAAACACTGAGAGCTTTCCCTCTAAGGTCAGGAAGAAGACGGGGATGCCTACAGTCACCACTTTTATTCAGCATCGTGCTGGAAGTCCTCGCCACAGCAGTCAGACAAGAAAAAGGAATAAAAGGCATCCAAATTGGCAAAGAAGTAAAACTTTCACTCTTTGCAGATGATGTGATACTAATGACAATGAGATATCTCCACATACCTGTCAGAGTGGCTAAAATCAAAAGCACAAAAAAACGGCAAGTGCTGGCAAGGATGCGGAGAAAAAGGAACTTTCGTGCATTATTGGTGGGAATTCAAACTGGGTCAGTCACAGTGGAAAACAGTCTGGAGGCCCGGGTGGCTCAGTTGGTTGAGCTTCAGACTCTTGAGCCCTGTGTTGGGCTTGTGCTGAGTGTGTAGCCTATTAAGATTCTCTCTCTCTCTCTCTCTCTCTCTCTCTCCCTCCCCCCTCTGCCCACCTCCTCTGCTCTCTCTCAAATAAAAGTAATTTTTAAAAAAAATTTTACATGTTTTTTTTTGAGAGAGAGAGAGCATGAGTGGAGGAGGGGCAGAGAGAGGGAGACACAGAATCTGAAGCAGCTCCAGGCTCTGAGCTGTCAGCACAGAGCCCGACGCGGGTCTCGAACCCACGAACCGAGAGATCATGACCTGAGCCGAAGCTGGACGTGTAACCGACTGAGCCCCCCAGGCGCCCCTAAATTTTTGCTTTGTGAAAAAGCTAGCCCTTGAGAGTCTGGTTGGTGTCATCGGGTCAGAACCCGAGAGTGGGGGTAGGTGTTGGTGGTGGCAGGCAGGGTGTGATGTGCCTTTCTAGACTTTTTGGCTCCTCTGGGATGTGCAAGTCAAAACCTGATGCGCAGTAGCGGACACAGGAGGAGAGTCAGGGCTTGGAAGTAAATGGGGCTTGATGTCACGGGAGTGGATTCGATTGCCCAGGAACTGTGAGCTGGAGGGAGAAGTGGACCCAGGGAGATCCTTGTGCGAGGGAGGAGGGCGCGGGGGGGAAGGGGAGGGGGAGGAGGAGGGCGAGGACTCAGATGAGGAGAGTTTGCCCAGGTGACAGAAACAGAAGATTCCTTGAAAGGCGTGTTTCCCAGGACCCAGGACCCAGAGGGGCACCAGTGTTATGAGAAGGACCAGCAGAGCCTGATGCTGTCTAGAGTCAAACAAGACAGCTGGAACGCATTCCATAAACAAGGAGCTCATTTGCGGCCTCGGAAAGAATCTAGTTCATGGATGAGCCGGGGCACGCGGGACCCCTTAATCCCCGTCACCTGTGTAACCCATCCCCTACCCCTCTTCCGGCTGGTGACCATCACCAGGAAGGCAGCAGCCTGCACTGAGCTACGAAGTGGGTGGAAAAAAATTGAGATCATGACCTGAGTTGAGGTCAGACACTTAACCGACGGAGCCGCCGAGGCGCCCCGTGGTTTCTGTTCTTTCTGCTTCTGCGAGCGGGGGGTCACGAAGAACCCTGCCTCGCTCACGCGCCCGGCTGGGAGAGAGCAGGTTAGCTGCCTGGCCCAGGAGAGGCCGGGCACAACGCAGTGTCGCCGTTACTAAGCTAAGGGAATATTTGCACGTTTGAAAAGTTATGAGTCACTTCCCCACCCCTGCGCCCTCGTTTCTGTCCCCAGGCAAACACCTCTGGAGGTCCTTGCGTGGCTTCCTGGAAATGCTCTGAGGCCCGAGGAGAGTGGAACATGCCAGAAATACCTGCGAGGGAGAGAATTAGACACCAGAAAAGAAGGCGTCAGAGGGAGTAGCTGCTGCATTTCTGGCGACTCCATCGTGCTGGGCTCTTTGAAGGGGCGGGACCAAACTGAGTGCGGCTGTGAAGCACGGGGCTTGAGAAGCACCTCCCCAGGGGAGCGGGGACCTCTGTTGCCTCAGTGGCCCCCGCGAACGGCCTTCTGCACTTGACTTTGTGCAGGTTTGTGCTGCCTCCACGAGGACAGCGTCAGGACGGAGCTGGATTCAGGACGCCGGCTGGTGTCACAGAATTGTGTCGCGCGGGGAAAACCCCACACGTCTGGTGACCAGGGGTGTCAGAAGGGAAATGTTCTGTGTGACAGTACAGGAGACGTTCGGAGAGAAGAAGCGGGTTTTCCCCTCCTCAGGAGGACGACCGGGTTTTTCCAGAACAAAGAGAAGGGAAAAAAAGAAACACTTTGTACTATAGGCAATGCCTACCGAGACCGGACAGTCTGAACCTGGGTTCAGGACAAGTCATGAACCTGACGGTGAGACAGAGAGGTCATAAATATTCTTAATGTTGCTGGGCCACGGTGTGTTCATTCTGCGGCTCCGTGTGATTGAAATGGTTGTAAAAATCCCCCCCCCCCATCATATCTGCCTTGGCTCCTTTCCCTCTTTTTCCCACGGAATTTTAAGCTCCCTCTTCATAAATTCTTCCCGTAGAGATTTAGCGCCACTGATGCCCATGGTTAGGAAAGGGTGCCTGGGTGGCTCAGTCATTTAAGCATCTGACTCTTGATTTCAGCTCAGGTCATGATCTCGAGGTTCATGGGTTCGAGCCCCGCGTCAGGCTCTGTGCTGACAGCTCAGAGCCTGGAGCTGCTTCCAATTCTGTGTCTCCCTCCCTCTCAGCCCCTCCCCCGCTCACGCTCTGTCTCTCTCAAAAATAAACATTAAAACTGAAGTTAAAAAAGAAAAAAGAATCATGCAGGCAAAACAAAACAGGGAGTTTTTAATCCTTTCCAAGTGGTTCCCACTGAGGTGGCACCAAGTGGACTCAAAATAGGGAGGAAAATGAATAGGTGCCTTTGCCAACGCTGCCACCCACGTCACAGCGGCCCCCCCGGGGCTCTGACCGGGAGTTTTGCAGCTCAGGAAACTGCCCGAGCGGCAGAACCAGGCCCTGGACCTGCTCCGCCCGTGCCCTGTGTTCGGGCCTGACCCGCAGGCTGGCGCGTGGACCCAGGCTGATGGCAAAAAGGCATGCTGGTGTTCAGGAGCCGGGGTCTGAAATAACCCAGCTCTGTGGTGGGAGAGTCCCTCTTCGCTCTCGTCTTTCCGGTGATGAGCAGCAAGCAAAGTCTTCATTAGGTTTTCATGCGTCCGGAATATTCCAGTGTTTGTGCATCTTCCTTTTTAAACCAGTGGGCTTTCTTACTATTCGTTTTAGCTGTAGGGTTACCTTAAATGTGTGGGAAGTGTTCATTTTCTACTTAAAGAAATCTTTTAAAAGTAAATGGAGTTTGGGGAGTCCGGGTGGCTCAGTCGGTTAAGCGTCCGACTCTTGATTTCGGCTCAGGGCATGATCTCACGGTTTGTGGGTTTGAGCCCCGCGCTGGGTTCTGTGCTGACAGCTCAGAGCCTGCTTGGGGTTCTCTCTCTTCCTCTCTCTCCCTCTTCCGTTCCTCCACTCACACTCTGTCTCCCCCCAAAAAACGAAACATAAAAAAATAAAAATAAATGGAGTTTAAAACATGGGTTGATTTAAAGAAAGATACTAAGTAAACTACAGAGCACATGGGACGCAGATATTGCAGGTCAGAATGTCGGTGGCGGCCGGTGAGACTGGGGACTCAGGTGAAATGCTGGGAGGAGCGGGTGTGGGCCCGGCGCCTCCCCGCCTCCTGCTGCGTCTCTAACCTGGCTCCAGCTCCTCCCCCCAGTCTGCCACTGCACTTCCGCCTCGGCTTTCTGTGGGTGAGGACAGAATTGGCCCAGAAGGTCTCCAGGGGTCTTTCCCAGCTCTCAGAAACAGTCTGTGGATGGCTATTTTTGCTATGTATTGAAGCACCCGCACCAGCCCTACTGGGAAAGTCCATTAAGCACAATCAAATCTACTAAGATGAAAATACTGGCTCCCACCCACCCACCACCTTCTTTAAATGCACTTGGCAAGTCCAGAAAGCCAGCAATTAGTAATTGGGCGCAATCGCTATAACGAGATCTGCACTCAGCAGTAGAGGAGAAATTCCCGCACTGACTAATCTGGTTAATGGAGCAGTTAAAAGTTATACATGCTGAAAAATAGTCCTTTGGGGTCATTATGAGCGCAAATAAAATGGACCCCTGCTAGTACGTAACAGTGGCAGGCCACACGTGTGTATTTTTCTACTTTGCTCTTTGCAAAAAAAAAAAAAAATTCTGACTTCTTTCGAAATGGATGCGACTGATTGAGTCGCATCTAGGTTTTAGTCTTTGAAGGCAAATGAGGTAGTGGTTATGATTAGGCAGGGAAAGTCCAGGAATGGGTTGAGAAACTGCAGAGACTGTTACATATGTATAGATATTTCCAGATCATCTAGGCAAGGTTGGGGAGGAAAGGAGTGCACTGCATGGTTTTTCTAAACAATAGCATTTTTTTTTTCCTGGACTGTTTTTAATTGGCTGGTTTTGGTCAAAGAGGCCACGCGTTGTGCCTATTAAAGGCTCAGACCCTGGGGTCTGACTTGGCTCGGAGACTCACAAGCTGTGTGACCTTGGGCAAGTTACTTAGCCTCCCTGCGGCTTCCATTTCTTTATCAGTAAAATGGAGGTTACAACAGAACCTGCTTCACAGAATTGTTGTGAAGAGGAAATAAATTAACACAGTCAAGTACTTGGAATAGTGCAGGGAGGAGGCGCCTGGGTGGCTCAGGCAGTTAAGCAGTTAAGCACAGACTCCTGATTTCTGCTCGGGTCATGATCTCAGTTTGTGGGGTAGAGCCCCATGTTGGGCTCTGCTCAGAGCCCACTTGGGATTCTCTCTCTGGCTCTGCTCCTCCCCCACTGGTATTGTTTCAAAATAAACATTTAAAAAAAAGAACAATGCTTGGCATATAGTAAATGCTGAATGTATGAGCTGTAGTAGTACTAGAGGTAGTAGTAGAATATAGCCTCAACTCTGCCCTCCAAGTTGCCTTGTAAATACCACATACCTGAGAAGTCTCTCTTCTGAAGTCACGTTACTGTATACGATATTAAATGTACATTTAAGTGTGCATCAAGCAAAACTGGCCAGCCTGGGGTAGGATTTTACAGCTGGAAGATGTCCAGGACGTTATAGAATCTGGAACCATCATTTTCTAGGTAAAGCACCTGAGACCAGAAAGGTAAGGTGACTTGCCCAAGGTTGTACAGCAAGTTGGTGGCCAAATCTGAATTAGAAAGAGTACCCGGCCCCACCTCTGGCATCTCCAGGAACTATTTCCATCATCTCCTTTCATTCCTAACGGGTTCTTAGTGTTCCCACTACGAAAGGCAGTTGGAACCCAGGAACACGCTGGGGTCTCTCACCCGCACCCCACCACAGACCTGGGTCAGACTTCCCGCCCCTTTGTTTGTGTGTTGCCCACCAGGCAATGCTTACTACTTTCTCACAACAGCTGTAGTTCCTTTAAAGGAACCCTCCACCACTAGTGTGAATCCTTGGGGCAAATGTCAATCGAGGTGCCCCCACTCACTCTCGCCAACCAAGGCCCCCGGGAGCCACCGCGCTGCCCCCGACTACCTCCTGAGCAGGGGGACGGGAGGCCCAGGAGGAGCTCACTCATTCTATGGGCAACCCAGCAGACCTCCAGCGAAGTCCCCTTGGCCTTGCGCCCGCCATATTTGATTTCTGTTGCTTGCCACCAAAGCACCTTGACAGATACACCTTGACCTGTTGACTTAGCCTTTCGGAGCCGTGAGGAACTGGCCGGTGGAAGGACGGCGGGCGACAGGGGGGTGGGAAGGGCAGGGTGGGCTGCCGAGGTGTCTGTGGAGAAGGAAAAGAGCTGAAGAGACTGACAACTAAGGAGTCTCTTCAGATCAGCCTAGCGGAAGCCCAGCGGCTGGAAGACTGGGGAACAGGAATTCTGTCGCGTGGAGAAGTTGGCCTACTTAAGTCCCCAGGAGAGGGGTGGGGGGGTGGTGTGAGGTAGCTGACGGCTGGGAAACAGGAAGCAGAAAATGGAGAGGGGAAACCTCCCGGACTCCCTCCTCCCGCGGGGAAGTCCACCAATAGCCACAGCAAAACAACAGGGAGCCCTTAAACGTGAATCAAAACATGGTTTTAGGGGCAGCCTTGACGGTCGAAGTCAGTTTTCGCTTATTCTTTCTTTCCTTCATTTACCTCGGACTCCGCAAGCGGCCGCGACATGCCAGACGTCGCGCTGGATGCTGGGGTGTATGGAGCCGAGGCGGCCATGCTCCCCCCCGGGGGACTCGCAGCCTGATGCGCCAGAGGGACGAGAAAGCTGCACTCACAGCCAGGGAGGTGAGCGCGTGTGCGCGCGGAGCACAGAGGACAGACCGATGGCTCGTACGAGGAATCGTGTGATGGCAACGTTCGTCTTCAACAGCCAGAGGAGGGTGTGGGAAGGCTGGGAAGGCTCCAGGCGAGCGGCCCAGCCTCCCTCCGGCACGGGCTCCTGTGCTGCCCAGGCTTTGGCCTGCACCAAAGGGTCTCGAGTAGGCCCAGGGAGGCTTTGCTCTGGCTCCCGAAGTCCCAAGGGTTTAGCAGCCAGGCCCCCTGGGGACGTGCACAGGAGCCTTACTACCAGAGTAGCGCCCATAGGCTGGCGGCATCAACCTGTCCCGCGGATCCCAGGCCCTTCCCCAGACCCGCAAACCACAGGCTGCATTTTCACAAGATTCACAGGTGGTCCATAAGCACGTGAACTTTTGAGAAGTGTTAGTCTACTCAAACCCTTGGGTGAAATCCTGAGATACTCGTTTAACGGAAGGGTATTTGGAAGGACTCGGGTCGGGAACCGAGCCACCCCAGCCAGGACTAGTGTGCCACAAGTGTCCTCGTGATGAGCGGGGCCACTGACGGGGGAGGGGGGCCGGGGGGGCAGGAGGACTCAGTCAGGACACATCCCTGTGGGTTGAATTTATCATAGAGTCAGCGGGTAAGATGCAGAAAGCCAGTTCCGTCCAAATTTCAGTTCAGTGACTTGATTTTCGGGATTAGTCCTTCTCATGCAATATTTGGGACCTAGCGACACTATAACGTTATTATTGTTTATTCTAAATTCAGACGCAACTGAGCATCCTGTGCTTTTATTTACCCAATCTGGCAACCTCAGTCTACCCGGCCCCAAGTTCCACCTCTCAACACCGAAAAGGGCTTCACACTATTAAAACAAAGGGATTAAGAAGACCCAGCAGGACAGAATGAGTGACTTAAAGTTAGAGATGTGTATATAATTAATTACAATATTTTCAACCCAGATATGAATGTAGTTGAACCACCAGTTTCTTTCCACAAAAGTATAAGAGCCAGAGATAGCAGAGATTTTGTAATAATAACGTTGGCTCTCTACCTACCATCACATAGACCATAGACCCAAAAGTGACACAGACTTTAAACACGAATAGAAGAAAATGGAGGAGAATCTCTTTGTGACCCAGGAGAAGGAGAGAATGTCTTCAATTAAGTGTTAAAAGCACACAATGTAAAATGATTCGATTACGTCAAAATTAAGGATTTTCTTCCAACAAGCGACTC